AACACAGCTAAGGTTTCATATTAAGGGACAATTTCTATGTAACATTTTTGCACATGGGGGCAGTTATACGTATCTATTCAAAAGCAGCATTTATGAAGCAATGTAAAAACTGTCTTACCGGGTCAATATCTTTATCCTTGTACATATATCACGAAGATGACCTAGGTACTGGTTTGATATGGAATGTAGTGGAGCTGAAATGTCTACTCACAAAGCCATTCCTATATTACTTTATTGTAAATGCATTTTTATTCAAGGGCATGTGCTAACAAGGGAACATGAGAACTGGGTCACCCCAGTAGCCAAAGACAACCCCTGCTGTCATACAAAGAGAACTTCCAACTAGACCCTCTGCCTCTGATTATGTACATATGACAGACAATGGCTTGGATCCACTGGAAGCATTCTACATGTTCTGGAGTCCTTGCACATGGAAATGTGGGGAGAAAAACCAACTCATGCTAGCACCCTGTACTAAGTTAATCATAGCATATCCCAAACTGCTTTTCCAATTGCACATGCTATTGTGCAAGCAATTTCTGGGAATTATAAGATATAAGGAGGAAAGTGTTCAGTATTGCACAAGATCTTGCCCAAGTGGCGCTGTGCTAAATCAGATTACGTTTCTGCTTGCGCACTTCTGGATCCAAGCCTATTTGTTTATCTCATCCAGGGGAAGCCATTATCAGCCAGTCAGAAATTCTCAATTACCTCTTCTTACCACACCCTGCATTTTAACATTTAGGTTGCAAACAGAAATTTGTTTGTTTACTTCATTCATAGCCTACCTTCTTCCCCAAACGGTGGTCTAAAACAGCTTACATTGTTCTCATATTTTAACATTTAGGTTGCAAACAGAAATGTGTTTCTTTACTTCATTCATACCCTACTTCTTCCCCAAATGGTGGTCTAAAACAGCTTACATTGTTCTCATCTTCTCCATTTTATCCTCACAACAACACTGTGGGGTAGGTTAGGCTAAAAGTGTGTGACCGGCCTAAGGTCACCCAGCTAGCTTCCATGGCAGAGTGGGGATTTGAACCAGGACCTCCTCCCAGATCCTAGTCCAACCACTACACCATACCGGCTCTCCACCAGTGAAACATCTGTGTGTGTTTGTTATTGCCTACCTCCGTGGAGCAACCCTAGTATTACCTTGGGAGTCTCTGATCCAAATCCTGTCCAAGGCTGACCTTGATTAGCTTCCAAGAACTGATAAGACTTGGCTAGCCTGGACTATCCAGCTCAGGGCACTGTACAAAATGGCACATCAAATAAGTATGCTGTCAACATGTGTGTGTGTGGGGGGGGGGATGTATTTAATCCATCATAAGCAAACCTGGACAATACCCTCAACCCTGTATGAATGCTGATGAAGTCTACAATGAGAAAAATTTTAGCCAGTATATATATATATGACTGGTAGTAACTGCACATTATCTGATGCCTTTGCAAAGGGAAAGGAATGCATCCTGCCACCAGATTCAGCCGCACCTTGCTGCAGCCACTGGTGAAACTGACAGCAGTGAGTCCACAGACCTCTAGGGAAAGTGACAGGATCTGTCTTGAGAATTCCATGAATTGGAAATAGCAAGTTCTAAATTTTAAAAAAATTGCTATTTTTCACCAAGCTTCTTGGACTGGGCAGAGCAGATCACCTTTAAAATATTTTTTCAACAGACATGGCTCTACGTAGCTGTTAACTACTCCTGGGAATTCTGCCAAAGCTTTTATCTCACTGCTTGAGCAAGAGTAGGAAGAAACCTAGTGAAAAACAGACTTGTCAGTTTCACTAGGCTTCTGAGGATCTGGCTGCTGAAATCCCAGCCATTAGGCTCATTTCACCATTTCTTTTTATTTGTGTGTACATGTAGGGGGGGCAGACAAACGCAGGTGCTGGAGACAGTCGCCAACAGTGCTACAAGTGCTACAAGTGGCAACTGCATTTGTTTTGCAAATGCAGTGGACCTCTGAATCAATACCTGATAAAAGTGGGATGGCAACAGGTCAAACATGGAAATCCAACCGTTTGCAATTAACTGTGGCTGCTTCAAGACAGGAACGTGCAGCAGCAGCAAGCAGGATGGAAACAAGGCGCCACTTGCCGTGCTGCTGCCCCCAGCCCCTACTCATCCTCTTGTCATGGCTACACATGGTGTCCAGGCCCCACAGACCATTAAGGGTCTTTCTTTTCCCCAGCCACACTGTACTGCAGTGTAAGGATATAGTACGGCTCAGGAAAGAAATGGGGGGGGGAGAGATCTTTAAAGGCTGAACTGGGGTGGAAATGCAAAGTTTAGCACCACCACTTTGAAGGCGGAGTTGAGCTCCACCACCCCTCCCAATGGAGGCTCTGCCCACAGTTTCCCCTTTAAACCTGAGAAAGTGAGTAAAGAGGAAGAAAACAGCAGCCAGACTAGTCAAGCACTAAGTGGGCTTGTCTAAGTGGGCATTGTCTTGATGTGCCCCTTTACTGTAGGGGCTTGGAAATGTCCCCTGTAGAAGTAGCCGCTGTCTGGATTCTCAGGAATGAGAACATGAACGTGGCCAGGAGGAGAAAAAAGGAACTGCGTTCAAGACACTCACAAGGGGAATACCTGATGAAGAAGAGTACTTCCTTTTTTAGCACAAAAGCAGCAGAAGGGGGGGGAAGGGTTAAGAATAGCCTTCCCTCCCCACTTCCACCTCACAAGGTGGAAGTTTGCAACCTCCATGCCTGCACTAGCAAAACAAGAGTTGCCAAGATATACCATGCAACTGTTTTCAGGGGATAGCCAAGTTGGTCTGCAGACAGTAGAACAGCTAGATCTGAGTCTGGGAGCAGTTTAGAGGCCAACAAGATTTTCAGGGTAGGAGCGTTCAAGAGTCAACATTCCCTTCATCAGATACAGCTGGTATCTGACAAAGCGAACTTTGACTCTGGAAAGCTCATACCTGGAGATATAAACTGCTCCTGGACCCCAATCTAACTGTGCAACTGAACACCACACCTTCTGAGAAAAAAAAATCCCTAGTTTTTTGGTAAAAAGGAAACGGGCAGTGTCCAGAAACCCAGCGCAGCAAACAAGGGGCTACCCTTGCAGTCAAACAGGGACACTCAAAGGAATATCTAATTGCACATTTTATCACATTGTACACCTGCCGGGGAGCTATACAACGCCACTGTGTGTAGGAGTGGAGGGGGGGGGGATTTATCACCGCCCTTCTTCACTGCATTTGCAACGAGGTGGTGAATCTTTCTCTGGCGGGTCTCTAACAGTTAAGCCTCCGAGGCGGAGACGCCTCTTCCTTTCACCGCCCTTGCGATACAAACGCAGGACGTTCCAGGCCTGCCTTCCAAAGCAGCTTGACACGCACGCTCCGGCAGGCAAACTCTTGGCTCGGCCTTTCCCCTCCCCGCACACCGCTTTTCTTCTCCGGGACTCGACCCAGCCGGGCTTCCCCCGCCACGGAAAGCCACACACACGCCTCCGCAGCCCGATCTCCCTCCCTCCCTCCTTCCCGGCTCCCACCAGCCCCTGAACCAGGGTGACCTTGGCCCGCGTTCCAGGAATTCCGAGGCGCAGGAGCCGAGGAGTTACTAGCGGTCACCGCCGCCGACGGCGGGCCCCTTCCCCGCCCAGGACACTCCTCCGGCGCGCATACCGAAGGCGCGGCCCTGCCCAGTCAGTGGCTCGGAGAAACAAATTTGGGGGGGGGGGGGGCATGTGGGGGGGGGGGGGGCGTGCGTGGGAGTTAGCGCGTTGCCACGAAAGCAGGCGTCCCGGGGAAGCGGCCGGAGCAAAAAGCACTCTAGTCGTCCAAGCTTTCGAGGAGTAGAGCGGAGGCCACGCCCAGCTCCTTCCCCCCCCCCTGGATTTTGCAGAATCGCTTTTCGCTCCGCAATGAAACAGCTGCCTAAAGCGCGTGCATTCACTGACTCCGAAGGACTGCGCTGCAATCAAACTCACTCTTGGACTGGGATATCCCGTCCTTTTGGCCGTTCAAGATGCCACGAGACTCGGAGAGTCCCGTTCATTTATGCGGCCAATAGGCTAACCACACCTTCCTCTCGGGGGGGGGGGACAAACTGGAGTCTGGAGACAAGACTAAGTTTTTGTGCGAGCAAAACTTTTTGCTGACGGTCCCCGAAGGGGTGAGCAAATGCCCTTTACACACACCCTTTCAGGCGCCTCCGAGCTTTCATGACTCTGCAAATTTCCCCCTTCCCCGTTCAGACAAAACAACAACAACCCGGGAAACCGTCTCGGGGGTGGGGGTGGAGGGAGCACCCGCTTGTCACAGACTTTCCCACTGGAGCCGGCGCGCACTAGTCTACTCCTCCCCCTTCGGCTAGGGCCCCTCCCCTTCACCCAGGCAAAACTCGCGCATCCTCCCTCCTTCCCTTTGTTCCCCCCCTTAGCTCCACCCCCTTCGCACGCGCCAGGACCACCTGTCTCCACGGCGTCCCACCTGCGACCCCAGCATGCTCCCCGAGCCGAGTAGGGCCCGGGGACCCCACCCCACGTGCTCCTCCCGCGCGCCAAGGCGGACAAGTCAGCGAAAAGCTGGCGGAGAGAGAGAGAGAGCGGCTCAGGAGCTGCAGGGACTGGGGAGGGGGTTGACAAGGTGCCCCTTCCGGCCACCGGGCGCATTCGAAGGTGGGCATTTGTCCCTTTAGCCGCGAACTCCGCCAAAGGGCCCCTCCGAACCAGTCCTCCACCTCAGCCCTAAGGACGCTGCTTGGGAATCCATTCCGCTCTGAGTAAGCACACGCTGACAGGGATCCTCTCTGTCCCCCCAATGGCTCCTTTTCGTGCTCCCTGGACTTTTCCCGCCTCCGTCTCTTCCCCCCCCCCTCGTCCCCGAGTCTCGCGCCCACCTGCTACCTCTTGCCCCTTCCCCTCCCTTCGGGTTGTTAAATCGCCGCCGGTCGGCAGCGCGTTCCCACAGCGACGCTTCTCTCTGCAGACCTGGCGCCTGGCCCAGTGGCTCTTCCGGAGGACGCGGAGCCGACTTACTCGGGACGGAGGCGGCTGTGGTCGCCGGCTCTCGGCACATAGCGACGAGGCAGTGGCTGGTGATCCAGAGGGCTGCCAGCAGCGCTCGCCCGCCCATGGCTCTCCACGCTCCGCAAAACCCGGCTGGAATGCAGGCGAGGAGACGAGGCGCGCGACTCGGGAAAGTTTCCCTTCGGTGTTAGTTTCTTCTGAAGTGCGAAAGTTGTGCTCGGGAGGAAAGGCTCCGCGTGGGCCCGCGGGAAGACAGCCTGTCTCTCCAATTAATTCCAGCCTTTCCGCTGCGCCTGGACCGTTCCCCTCGGGCGCCCTTTATGCGAATGGCAATATGCAAATGAAGCTCATCACCAATTGGCTCTAAAAATGAGCGGAGGAGGGGCTATAAATGAATTCTCCAGAGTTCGTTAGGTCGATTTGCCAAAAAAAGAAAAAAAGAAGAACACCTCCTTTTGGGTCACTCTGCAGACGCCCAGTTGTAACTGGGAAAAAAGCTCTAGAACTCTGCCTGGAAACTGCTGAGCGCAAAAATCACTTGTGCAAAATGATTTGAAAGGTCCACAGCTTGCAAAAGCTTCTAGGAAGCCTTTGCGTAAGGCGGGGAGGATTGTGCATTGACTTTCTTACACAGAGGACTTTCTTCTTTGCCCTTCTTTATTTAGCACATTTTTATCCTGCTCTGTGAGCTTCAAGTCAGAGTGGGGATTTGAACCCAAGCCTCCCAACCTTGTAGTCCAGCATATCAACCACTGCATTGCACAGGTTACTGTCATACACAATATTTGCATTTAACGTTGTTTTGTACTGCATTGTACCAGGCAAGCTGCCTACTGGCTAGCTGAATCGTGCACGGATTTTTCTGGCACTAAATCCAATTGAATTTAACAGGTCATTTCACTCTTTCTGAAAAATCATAGTACTTGGGAGCTTGCTTTGCATAACAACTGGAAAATATAGCAGTTCATGGTACTTAAGTTTTTCCAATGTGTTTTCTCCCTGGTCTGAGACATGCACTTTAAAGTCTAGGTGCACAAGCTAGCAGGAACTCCTGCTACCCTGCAATGTATGAAATATGTAGGAAGCTCTCCTACATTGACTCTGCTCTATCTTAGAAAGCAGAGGCGTGTCAGACTCGCTTGTTATGAGGTCGGGATCTGTCATAAATGTCACTTTGTCAGGCCGGGCCAGTGTGCTATAAAATGTAATGCCAGGGCACCAGAGATACAAACTTTATAATGTACAGTAGCTGGTAAGCACCAAGCTGCTATGTCCTCACTGCAAGGCTGCATTGACCAGGGGGTGTTCAGAGGAAAACCCACATGGGAGGAGGGCCAGCCAGGGCTATTTTTGGGCAGGAACGCACAGGAACAGAGTTCCAGCTGGCTCCCAAGTTGGCCACGCCCACCAGGAACTCATTAGCATAATAGGCCACACCCAACAGGAGAAACTCATTCGGATTGGCTACAATTAGGGGTGTGTGGCCTAACATGCAAAAAGCCCTGGGTTTTGACAACAAACAAGGTAAAGAGAATAAGAAGCAAAAGGTGGGTGTGGCTGGATGACCACACTTCTGGTAACATGGGGGTGTGGCCTATTATGCGAATGAGTTCCTGCTGGGCTTTTTCTACAAAAAAAGCCCTGGGGCCAGCCATGCAGTTTTGGCAGATCCCCCCCCCTCCTGGAGGGCGTGCAAGCCCCTTCCCCAGCTCAAAGCCTGGGCTCCATGGTAAAAACACAACACGGCTGGGTGTTGTGAGCACCCCCCTTCTTCTGAGTAGGATTGCCTGCTCTGGGTTGGGAAATACCCAGAGATTTTGGGGATGAGCCTGAGGGGTGTGGGGTTTGAGGAGGGGAGGGACTTCAGGCGGGTACAATGCCATAGATGTCCACCTTCAACAGCGGCCATTTTCTCCAGGGAAACTGATCTCTGTCACCTGGAGATCAGTTGTAACAGCGGGAGATCTCCAGCCACCGCCTGGAGGCTGGCAACACTACTCCCAAGCCACCGTGGAAGGGACCTGGGAAGACAAGTTGAACTAACCCCCCCCCACCTGCAGAAGTGGGGGTGGGGGTGGCCCAGGCACAAGGCCACATGCACAGTAGGACCCAGGCCAAGCAAAGCCCGATAGGCTGGAGACACCCTGCAGCAGTGGCCACCTCTGGCCAAGGCCAGCAGGCGAACGAGGGTGGGCGATACTGGGGGTTCAGGCCAGAGATCATCAACAAGCTGTGCCATCCCCATGCGGCAGTAGCCGCTGAGGGCCCCTGGATGT